TCTGTGTAGCCCTGGCTGTCCTGGAACTCACTCTGTAGACCAGGCTGACCTCGAACTCAGAAATCTGTCTGCCTCTGCCTCCCAAGTGCTGGGATTAAAGACGTGTGCCACCACCGCCCGGCGGTTATTTTCAATAAAACGATTTAACACATGACTCAACTGCTATATAATCCATATAAACAATAGCTCTTGGGAGGTTTTTGTTCCTTTGTGAGTGTCAGGGATTGAAGTTATGCATACTAGACAAGTATTCTATCCTGAACTATATATACCCTCAGCTCCCTCAGTGACTTTGAGAGGTCTAAAATGTGACATCAGGCCAGTGAGATGGCTCAGTGGGTAAAGGCACTTGTATGCAACCTGATGAAGTGAGTCTGATTCCTGGATTCCACGTGATTGGCTGCAGAGAACTAACTCGAGATTGTCCTCTCAACAGTACAGGCATCATACCATGGGCATGGATGTACCTTCTCATACAGGCGTACATACTCATGCCTCATGGGGGGACCTTTGGAACCCCAAAACTTTTGAGGCTGTCTTTGAGGTGATGCTTAGATAGGCTGGACTAGACTTGGCTTCCCACGAGGGCCAGTTGGGTCCTTGTCTTCTGTAAAGCTTGCAAGTCGGTGTCTAGTATCCGGCATTTCCGCTCATGTCAGAGTGAGTGGCTTACTAGATGAAGCACAGGCTTGTCACGTCGGGGAGGCCCGTCCCCTGTCTGTGCTCTAGGGGCAGACAGCTTGTGTATCTCCTGAGTGCTCTTCCCAGCCTCAGCATTTGGGCGTGCTGTGACCATATGGTGTTCCACCCAGGGCTCCCAATAGACTGCTTCATCCCACTGCCATCTGGAGCACAGCCAGAGGGATGGGATTGTCTCTCTGTGCCCTCAAGGATTGCTGATTCTTGGCAGGGACTTAAGTCCCCTCTTGCTCCGAGCACTCAAAACCCTTCCCTCCCACTCTCCAGTAAATAGTTGCACTGGGTCAGTATTTGTGATTGTCTTCTCCCCACAGAGAAAGATGGTTATTGAAGATGAAACCGAGTTCTGTGGGGAAGAGCTGCTGCACAGTATGCTGAAGTGTAAGGTATGGTGGGCTGGCCCAGGCGGACAAGGTGAGGGCAAGGGCTTTTTTTTTTTTCTTTTTTTTTTTTTTGCGGGAGTGTGGTGTTTAAGGTTTTTCTGGAGGTGGGAATGTATATATGGTATATATTACTTATGTTCAAGGTAGTGTCTTTCTGGTAACTCTCTGGCCTTGGACTGTTGTGTCATCCATGTGGTAGCAGTCAGCAAAGACCTCACTAAACCTCTAAAACCTAAGGGTGAAGGGAAAGTTAGGAATCATTTTGTAGTATCAAATCAGTATTTAAACCTCATTTCTACAGTGTTTTGTGTGACCTTGGGCTAGTAGCTTGGGTGTCTCTGAGTGTCTTCTCTGTAAAGTTGGAGAAGTCCTTCCAGGAGTGTTAAGTGAAGTCGGAGTGTACAGCAGGACTTGGGTGTTAGCTTCCCTTACATCCTCTGCCCTGGTGCACAGGAAGCAAACACCTGGTACACTCTGAGTGGGTTAGAAAGGGCTACCTCACAGAGCTCTTCTTTGGGCAGACACGGTTGGGAATTTATCCATAGGTAACCATATCTCAAGTGAGGTGAGGATGTCTGTTTTCTAGAGGGGAAGTTGGAGAGGAGAGATAGAAGGGAGGTGCGTGTGTGTGTGTGTGTGTGTGTGTGTGTGTGTGTGTGCGCGCCCACACACACACTTGCACACAGGAGACCCTGGTCTTGATTTGTTTTTAAGTTTATTTGCTTGCTTGCTTGCTTGCTTGATTTGGCTTTCTCTGTGCAGCCCAGGCTGTCTCAGAACCCACTCTGTAGACCAGGCTGGCTTCGAACTCAGAGATCTGTCTGCCTCTGCCTTCTGGGTGCTGGGATTAATGGGGTGCACCACCACCCAGCCTGTTTTTAAGACTTGAGTTCCAGTCAGTGGAGCTGAATGCTGAGACTTCAGTCCCTTGTAGGTTGTGGCGTCATGGGGAAACAATTTGCTGTGAGGATTGACTAGCTGGACATAGAGCTGGCTTTCTGTGTAGCAGGGGGGCTTTTAACCACTTGACCACAAGCCAGGCACCTGCTCACTGGGGCTTTACCACCTTACAGGTGAGGTAATTGAGGGTCAGAGAGATTGAGCAACTTGTCAGGGTTACCCAACTGGCAATTTCAGAGCTATGATACAATAGGAAACCAGTTCCTTGGAGGGCAAAGACCCTGATCGTACCCTAGAGGGCCTCGGATGGTACTTGCTCTAGAATCTTCTTCTCTTTTGGCAGAGTGTGTTTGACATCCTGGATGGGGAGGAGATGCGGCGAGCACGCACCAGAGCCAACCCCTATGAGATGATCCGAGGCGTCTTCTTCCTTAACAGGTTGGCTGGACTTCCCCTTCCCAGTTGCACAGCTCTGCCTTTGATTTGAGCCTTGGTTTTCTGTATCCTGGGATTGACCATGCTTTTCCGCCTTGCTTTGTTACAGGGCAGCAATGAAGATGGCTAACATGGATTTTGTGTTTGATCGTATGTTTACAAATCCCCTGGACTCTTCTGGGGTGAGATTTTTGTGGTGTCAAGTGCATTTAAGCTCGGGAGGTCACCATCTGTTCAGTGCAAGTGTGTTTCTGCTATTGATAGCAATGGTTTTCCCACATAGAGAGAGTCCTTCAGTGTTTCCTGGTCCCAGGAGTGGCCCAGTGTGCCAGGCCCTAAAGGTCTGTGATTTCAGCAGGGTCATGTTTTCTTTCTGCTACTCTGAACAAGCTCTGTGGGATCGCAGTTCTGAGGCTTGGCCTTTCTCTAGCTGTGGTAGAGCAAAATGATTTTCTGCTCTGCTACTTCTCATCTCTCTGAACATCGGCCCTCCATAGTGATAGAGAAAGCAGAAAGGGAAATTTCATTCTAGAATTCCCTTTGGGTCAATGCGTTTTTACCCACTCCTAGAAAGTTGGTTTCCTTTACAGTGTCAGGGCCAGCTGTCCCCAAATCTGTTTCTGCTTCACAAACCCTCATTCTACTAGACCCCATCCCCTTTACTACCCACCAGCTAGAGGAACTTATTTCCGAGTTCTTTGGTGTTTCAGCTCTACCTGCGGTAACTACTTGTTCCTTGCTGGTAAACACTGGCACATAGACCCTCTGGCCCTTACTCATTTGCTTTCCCAGGGCTCCCTCCCCGTCTTCCAGGGCCAGCAGGCAGCACAGAGACTCTTGGAATTAGCATCTGGAGAAAATTAGGTTGATACAATGTTGATTTAATTTTCTGAGCTCCCAGTGATCTCCTTTAAAGCCCCTGCCTAGCAGAGAACCTCTGTTAAGCTGATAGATGCCACAGCATCGTCTGGGCATTTGAATGTGTATGCCCTCAGAGGCTGGAGTCTGGCTATTGTCTCTTGCTGTCATGAGAACCAAGTGTAGACACCAGGACTGTACCATTCAGGTCCAAGTGGCTGCTTGTCACATAGGGAAATGCTGCATGCTTGGACAGCTTCAGGCAGCTCCTTGACCTGAATTGATTGATGGTAGCCAGGGAGCATTGCCCTGTCAGAGGTGTGTCTTTGCACTCCCAATGCAAAAAGTGGTTTTCCTCTAATGCACAGTGTGTTCTTCTCTTTCATCTCCATTTTCCCTGAGGACCTGAGTAAAAGCCAGGCCTAGTGTGTTCTCAGGGAGCCGTTGCCAGCCGCCGGTTCCCAGCAGATGTGAGAGTGGCCACAGCATAGGCACACTGGGGCCTGAGGTTTTAGGTCAGACAAATTATTGCCTAAGTCTTAGAAAACTGGAAGCTTGGGATATAGAGAAGGAGAGAGGAGAGTTTTGTGCTGAGGATTTTATTTCTCTAAGAGAAACCTGTCTGTACTGCGGGGTGGAAGGCAGTGAATGTGGGTGTCCCCTTCAGTCTTGTGAGTAGCAGTAGAGAATTCGACAGGGCCCGATTTATGAGTAATAATACTGCACTTGGCAGATAGAGGAGAAGAGTACAGAAATGCCTAGAGTTTTGATTCTAAGGAAGTTGATCTAGTTGAATATAATGCCACCTTATATTTGTGGCTAGTTTGTAGTTTGGAAAGATTTTTGCCACAGGTTGCATTATTTAACCCTGCAGCAGCCTGGAGAAATACCTACACTCATCCCAATTTATAACTGAACAATTGTCCTTGACTGCACAGTGAGGGAGTGGCAAAGCTAAGAACTTGCTATGTAACCAGACTATCCTTGAGTTCACAATAATTCTGCCTCAGCCTCCCAAGTGCTGAATGGTATGTGTATACTACCACACACCTACAAGCCCCTGGTTTTGAAATCACAGGATGAGATCATATTTAGGCACCTTATGGAGATACTTTGCATCCTTGAGCTTCCTGCCTTCCCTTTGGCCAGAGAGGTTGGAGCCTAGGGCTAAGGCACCCATGCTGGACACATTGTCTTTCTTCTATGCAGTGTCTGTATAGTGCTTAAACTTAGAGCTGCTGCCTCAGACCCACTCTGCTGACTGCAGAGTGCTACCGACTGTAATCCCAATACAGGAGAGACATGGATCCTCAGAACCCATTCCTGAATACCGGGGTAGGGTAGTGAGCAGCCTGGGAAAGAGCCGACAGGCTCCTGTGGTCTGGGGTGGGCTTGCTGAGGGCTGGCAAGCTTGACCTTTGCTACGGCCACTTTCTCCAGAGATGTGCTCACTCGCTAGCCCTTGACACCTAAGAGTGACAGGGCTGCAAATACAAGGGTGTCATTTTCCTAGAACTTTACGCTTTTTGCTCTTTAGCAGTTGTGCAATCCTGGACAGTCTGCCAGCTCTGTCCAGCCTGTAGAGACGGAAGACTGAGGTCGTCCCCAGGCAGGAAGGACTCACAGACCCAGGCTAGCTCTGGGCTTTTGTGGTCACCCACCCTTACAGTTCATTGTCTTAGTGTCACCTTTGCAGCTGATTTGTATCTCCCCTGTAGACAGTGGTGGGTTATTGTGCTGGCCCAGCGCGGCCTGTGTGAAGCTGAAGCACCTGCTGCTGACTAGTGCTTGCTCGGGTCAGTGACTTCAGATGAACAGATACTGTCACTAGCCAGGCTGCTGCTGCTGCTGCACACCTTTAACCTTAGCACGAGGGAGGCAGAGGCAGGCGGGTCTCTAAGTCCAGACTGGTCTACAGAGCAAGTTCCTGGACAGCCAGGGCTACACAGAGAAAGCCTGTCTCAAACTGCCCCCCACCTAACAACCCCTCCCATAAAAAAGGAGGAAGAAAAGATACCATCATTAAAAAGTCAAGTGGGTTTTTGTTTGTTTAGTCTCATCAGTCCTAACTTGGCATTCAGGCTCTGAGAGTCCCCAGAGACTGCTGCTAGACTAGCATGTCCTCTGCCTGCCTCAGCAGCTCCCAGCATGCACTGGGCAAAGGAGGGTAGATGAGGAAACTCGTGGTGTGGCATGCTTGACAGCAGAAGGGTGCCAGTGAAGTCTGAAGCCTGGAGTTTACTTCAGTAGTGGTGCACTAATCCTGGTTTCTCAGTTCTGACAAACATACCATGGTTGTGCAGACTGTCAATAAAACTGGCAGCTACATGAAAAGCACAGGAACTTTGCACTCTGTTGGTAACTTTTATCTAAGTATACGTTTATTACAAAATAAAGGCAACTGAAGGACACCAGGGGAGTTGGACAGGGAGGGAAGATTGAGGCTGCCCTGTGGGAAGGCGGGCCCTTGAAGCTAGGAGGTGGGTCATGCTACAGCCACCAGACAGGGGCTGCTTAGGGAGAGCCGGCATCTAATGCTCAAGCCTCCTAAACTCCGACCCAGCTCCGTGTCGGGGTTTCTGTCTGCAGTGTTCTGCTCACCAGCATACAAGCTAGGCACAGCGTGATGGGGCACGACCCTGAGACATGGAGACATCACTTAGCCTCAGAGGTGCTTGTCTGAGGAGTCTGAGTGGGCCTGGGTGTGGGAAAGGTGCTGAGGGTATTTTGGGTGAGGAAGCTCCAGTGGGCAGTGGTGAGAGAGGAAAATGGTGTGTGTGCTCTGGCTGGGTGGGCGGGAGTGCTGGATATGCTTGCTGGTAAGTGTTTCTGGTTTTTTGTCTCCTCTTCCTTGAGTTCTCCTTTCTCTCCCTCCCTGAGCCGCCTGTCCCCTGTCTCCTTTTGTCCTACCTGTCTTTGCAGAAGCCACTGCTGAAGGAGTCGGACATTGACCTTTTATACTTCGCTGATGTGTGTGCAGGCCCGGGGGGCTTCTCCGAGTACGTGCTGTGGAGGAAGAAGTGGCACGCCAAAGGCTTTGGGATGACGTTGAAGGGCCCCAATGACTTTAAGCTGGAGGACTTCTACTCAGCCTCCAGTGAGCTCTTCGAGCCCTACTATGGTAGGGACACCGAACAGGGCGGGGACTAGAAATATGAGGGTCACTTCCTCGGGGACTTCAAGGCCAAAGCTGTTGCTACCTGTGCTCTTCCTAGTCTATAAGCCAGGGTTCACAGACCCTGTCATGAGGGTCGTAGGTCCCTCTCAAATATCTGTTTGTTTGTTTGTTTGTTTGTTTGTTTGTTTGTTTAGACTACAGGCCTACACTCCCCTAAGTAAACTCATGAAAGCCGTACAGTTCCTCCTTGCAGGATGGTGGATCTTGTGTGGTGAGGGGGGAATGAGACTGCCTGGTTCCTAGCTGAAAGCTGGCGGTTACTAACTAACAGATCGTAACCCAGCTGCAGCCCTGTGTGCTGGTGTGAACTGAACTTCCTAGCAGGCAGTTCGGCAGCTACAGCAGTCCCTCTGTCCTGAAAACAGACTGTGATGTGTCGGCAAGTCCCGAGGTCTTTCCTAACAGTTCTTACGGAGGTCGTCGTTGTCTCCTTTTCTCATGGTTTGGTTTTATTTTGTTTGTTTGCTTGCTTGTTTGTCTCGACACAGGCTCTTTCTGGCTAACCCTGGCTAACCTGGAACTCTACCATGTAGATCAGGCTAGCCTCAACTCATAGAGATCCTCCACCTGCTTCAGCCTCCAAAGTGCTAGGACTTGATGTTCTGAGATGGGGTCTCACTTTGTATTCTAGGCCAACATAAGTCCCTGTGTAGCCCAGGCTGGCCTTAAATGTGTGGCCAGTGAATACCTGTAGGCTGAGCCCCCGTGCCTGGCTAATACTGGGTTTTAAATATGAGTGCTTTGAAAATCAAAATTCTCTGCTTCAGTTGATAACTTTAGTCTGGTCAGTTCCCTTTGAACTGTGGCTTCTGCCCTATCAGCAGAGGTAGGAGGGCCCTGGTTCTCAGAGGTCCTGGCCCAGCTGCTGGAAGCAGATAAACTCACAGGGTTCTTGTGTCCCATCAGGTGAGGGTGGGGTCGATGGAGATGGAGACATCACCCGCCCAGAGAACATCAATGCATTTCGGAATTTTGTCTTGGACAACACAGATCGCAAGGGAGTCCATTTTTTGATGGCAGATGGGGTAGGTGATGGCCGCTGTAAAGATGCTTTATGGATTTGTTGTAAATTTAGAGGTTTGTTTTGTTTGTTGTGCTGGGAATTGAACCCTTGGCCTTGGGCATCCTTAGGAAGTGCTCTGCTGAGGACCCCCCCACACACACACAACCCTTGGAAAATGCTTTAGTTTGCTCTTTAGCTGACCGAGTCAGTGGTGACTCTTTAGCTGACCTAGTCAGTGGTGACTCTTTAGCTGACCTAGTCAGTGGTGACTCAAATGTTCACATATTAGGGATGCACAGCTTTACTTATTTTACACGTTTTCCTACAATGTTTGTAAAGATTCTCCATTTGCTTGGGCTCACTTTGCTAACACAAAGGCCTGTAGTTGCTGAGGGCCTGATGGAGCGTGGAGCCCAGCGGTGGTCGGCGAGGCAGAACTGAATGGGAGGCACTGCCGACACTTGTCATCTGGGTTGTTGCTGTTGGAGGCTGTCTACAGGTGGCCTCAGCCTCACGGGCACGGACGGACACTTAAGCAGTAGCCGCAGAAGCACAGAATCCGTGGAGGCCTGTGGCTAGCTAAAGATAGTGTCAAGGCTCTACCTGAGCAGCTATGTGGGGTGCAGCCATGTTGTTCAGCAGAGGCCCCCTCATCCTGTAATCTCACACCCAGGGGAGCCCTCTCATGTGAGCTGCTTTGAGAGAACGGACTGACAGGATGCCGTTTGCTAGAGGATCACAGCTGGGGTTGAGAAGAGCGTTTCACGTTCTTTGTGTGTGGAGGAAGGCAGAGCGTTAGAGGGGCCTGAGGATGCCCTGGCTCCCTGAAGTCTGTACACAGTAGAGGCAGCAGATGGACAGGCTGAGAGGAAGGGCCTCTCAGTGCCTGTTGAGCAGATGTGTGGTCTGCCAGTCTGCCTTTTCTGCCTTTTCTGCAGCAGACAGCAGGGTGGCAAGCGCAAGGATTTTCTGCTTTGGCCTTTTGATTTATTTCTGTTACTTATTTTAAATGTTCATTGTATATAGTAATGTATTGCCCAGGATATTTTCATACAAGTTTATGTATATCGTACATTGAATATACTCCCATCCTCCTTCTCCTACCTCTATCTTTCCCTTTCTCTTACCTTTAAAATGTCTTTTTTTAGTCAATGCCTCACAATAGCTCAGACTGGCCTCAGACTTCCTATAAGATAAAGTTGCTCTTGACTCCTGGTCCTCTGGCTGCTGCCTCCCACGTGCTAGAATTAGAGGCGTGTGCCACCATGGCTGGCTCTAGTTTTGAATTTCTAATTAGCTCTAGAACAAACATGGATCTTGAGAACCATCTTTAAGTCTGGGAGACAGTGGTTAACATTACTTTCATAGGACTGCATCCGTGAGATCTGGCCTGTGGAGCATCCTAACAGAAGCTAGCATTCTTGCTGTAACATGCAACATGGCTTGTCCTAAGTTTAGTAGTTTATCTATTCATTCTGTTGTGCACCTGATTTCCAGAACATCTCACTTTGTAAAACTGAAGCTGTACCCACTAAGAGCAGTCCTTTCCCCGTCGCCTGCCGCCTTTCCTTGGCTGTAAGCATGGTTCATGGCTGGCAGCTCTTTGCTGAAGGAGCTGCTCTGGGAATCGCAGCATGCATTCTTGGAGCAAACCCTGGCCTGAGAGTGTGCCAGCTGAGAGGAAGGGTCTACAGCCAAGGTAGAGTAGTGGTTAGTGTAAGGAAATCCTTGGTCAAATCTATCTCTTGGTTGACCAGTGATAAAGCCAGTATCTTGCCTTTCTTCTGCCTTACTCGTCCCTGGGTTCCCTGGGTTCCCATGTGGAATTCAAAGTTTTCTGGACCATTCTCTGGAAAAGCAGACTTGGTCCTGTGGTTTAGGAGTGATAGAGCAGGGACTGACTACGCTACTCTGCGGAAGCTGAGGCGGCCGGTGAGCCCAGTCCTTACAGTCCCTTCCCGCGGCCTGTGCTTGGGCCTGTGCTCTCTCTCGTTGCAGGGCTTCTCTGTGGAGGGGCAGGAGAACCTGCAGGAGATCCTCAGCAAGCAGCTCCTGCTGTGCCAGTTCCTCATGGCCCTGTCTGTTGTCCGCACAGGTGACGTCCGCTCCCTTCTCACCCAGGACCGTTGAGGCCCTGCTTGTAGTTGACAAGAGCATGGACAGGGGCTGGTTAAGAAATTTAAAAAAGTTTAATCCCAGCACTTGGGAGGCAGGGACAGGCGAATTTCTGAGTTCGAGGCCAGCCTGGTCTACAGAGTGAGTTCCAGGACAGCCAGGGCTACACAGAAAAACCCTGTCTTGAAAAACCAAAAAAAAAAAAAAAAGAAAGAAATTTAAAAAAGAAAGAAAAATAGGAGAAAGAAACCTTGTCAGGTGGCTGATGACGAGAAGAGGAACACAGGGAGGGAAAGGAAAGAGACCCCCCCCCCACCCTGTCTGCAGTGGCTGCTTCATAAATGACCTTGGGCTTGTTGTCTTTATTGCCTGTGGTGGCCTCCCCCACATCCCACAGTAGCCACTGATTGCCCTGGGCATTTTGTCTCCAATCCAGGGGGCCACTTCGTCTGCAAAACCTTTGACCTCTTCACACCTTTCAGTGTGGGCCTCATTTACCTCCTGTACTGCTGCTTTGAACGTGTGTGTCTCTTCAAGCCTATCACCAGCAGGCCTGCCAACTCAGAGCGGTAAGACTTCCTCCCTGTCAGCCAGCTGGTTAGTCAGCCATCAGCCGCAAACCCTGTGCTTCTGTCTGGTATGAACTCTCAAACTTAAGAACCTTGACTTTGGAGATGTGATTCTCTGATAGAAGCCGGGTCCTTGGTGTGAGTGGTCATCTTCAGGTTGTCCAGACTGCCACTTCCACAGCTGTGTTTACCATGCTTGCATCTGGGATTCTCATGTTGGCCCAGGAAGAGTGTGACTATTGATAGAGGGTATAGGCTGGGAATAGGCAAAGGGCTTGCATACGGAGCTGATGCAGGCATCAGGTGCCCCAGACAAGAGTAAGAGAAAACAAGGCTGATCTGAATTGTCAGGTAGTCTGTCAAAGTGCAGACTGCGGTGGAGACTTTGATCCATTCCGTCTGTAACAGCCTCTCCAAGTCATGTCTGTTGGTACCGGACAGTCAGGAATACCTCATAGAGGGACATCCAGTCTCACGTACAAAGAAAAGATTTTATGTATTTTATTTTGAGACAGGGTTTTATAGTATAGCCCTGGCTGGCCTGGAACTTACTACATAGACCAGGCTGGCCTTGAGCATATCTGATTGCCTGTGCCTCCCAAGCAGGACTTAAGGCATATGCCACCAATTTGTGTGAAAAGGAAGGACTTGAGGTGACATTTTTTAAGGCCCAGTATGTGTTGCCCTTTGAGCTCAGGCTTAAGGTTGACTAGAAAGACTGTTGAGGTCTGTGACTCCAGTGGTGCGGTGAGGGAGTGTGCGGGGCGAAGGCGCTTGCTCCTTGGAATGACAGGGTCTCTCCTGCAGGTATGTGGTGTGCAAAGGTCTGAAGGTGGGCATAGATGATGTTCGGGAGTACCTCTTCTCTGTGAATATTAAACTCAACCAGCTTCGGAACACCGAGTCTGATGTCAACCTGGTAGTTCCCTTGATGGTGATCAAAGGAGACCATGAGTTTAATGACTACATGATACGGTCTAACGAGAGGTAAGCCTTCTGGCTGTGTCTGCTGCTACCGCTGGGGTGTTAAGGATACTAGAGGATAGGATGCAGGACCTACTGAAGCTTGGGACAGTCCGTTGTCTGGGTTTGCTCAGCTGGTTCTGCAACAGTCTAGGAACAGTCTAGGGCTTTGGATTACGTTTGGCTCCTCTGGTCTGTTAGTGTGTCCTGCTCCAAGGAGGCAGGTGGATCCCTGGCTCCACAGTCCTGCCCACAGGAACCTGGGCTAACAATGGAAAGAGAGCCTGTGGACGGCAGGCAGGGCTGATTCCTCAGTCAGTAGAGCTTGAAAAGACGGTGGGGGCCTTGTGAAGACAGACCCTTGCCTGAAGGCCGGAGATGCGTAGAAAGCAAATGTAGAGTGTGGTTTGTAAGAGCCCAGACCTTTGTTCAGGGCTTCTTCCGGTGGGCGGTGGAAAGCTGTGTTTTCCTCCTTTAATTGATACACCCCCATCCTCCACCATCACCCAGGGCTGGAGTTACAGGCAGGTGTGAGCCACCCCACATGGGTGCTGGGAGCTGAACCTGAGTTCTCTGCAATAATGGTTTGTTTTTTTTGGTTTTTCAAGACAAGGTTTTTCTTTGTAGCCCTGGCTGTCCTAGAACTTGTTCTGTAGGCCAGGTTGGCCTCGAACTCACAGATTTACCTGCTGCTGTCTCCCAAGTACTAGGATTAAAAGTGTATGCCGCCCACCTGGCCACTGAAGTGCACACTCTTAACTAGTAAGCCACCGCTCCGCTCTGGTCACCTCTCCTCTTTAGACTTTATTTAAGTGTTAGTTTTTCGGGTTTTGTTGTTGTCTTTTAATAAACAATGAGTTAAAGGGCTACCCATGTATTTTGGACGTTAATCTCTTACTAGACTCGAATGTGAAATACTGTTTCCTGGTCTGTATTTTCTTTTCACTGTATTATGTCCTTGGCACAGAAGTTTGTAATATCAGTGTGGCCTGGCTTACTCATTTTTCTTATTATTGTACTTCTAGTGTGAAGCTTCTCCCTGTGTTTTCTTGTAAATTTTATAAATTTATCCCATGTGTTGAGATATTTTATTTTTAATTATTTTTTGGATATGGCTTTAATTATTTTTTTTCCCGATCTTTCAGACTGTCCTTTCTCTATTAAATGGTCTTGGCACACTTTGTAAAACTCTTCTGCTACTTCATTAGCTATGCTAATAAACAGTACTCAATGAGTGTTTATTTCTAGGCTTTCTGTCTTGTCCCGGTGGGATGTCATCTATGAAGTGAGATAATTTTATTTCCTTTCCAGGTTGGCTATCTCAAACCTTTAAATTTTGATAATGAAATCTAATTAGACTTTTTTTTTCTTCTTTTTTTGGTGAATGATTCATTTTCTCTCCAAAAAGTCTTAGTTTGCATGCTCTCTGTAGCTTTGGCTAACTAGAACTCACTATCCTCCTGCCTCAGTGACTATCCTGAGTGCTAGGATCACAGTGTCTTCTCAGTCCTTGGTAGTTCCTGGCACACTGACTCTTCCAAATATTCTAGCTTCCCTCCTGGAGCAGTGTGTTCCTGTTTGCAGTCATCCCATTTCAGCCTACAGACTTCATTTTAGAGACAATCTCTTCAGCTTTTGTTTTGTAAAAAACTGCATTTTTTAGGCATTGTGGTGTGCACCAATAATCCCAGCACTCAGAAGGCAGAGGCAGGAGGATTTCTGTACTTTCCCAGACAGGCAGGGCTACATAGTGAGACCCTAACTCAAGAAACAACATATAAAATGCCACAGAAAAACATGTCTTTTATTTTTGAGGAATATTTGAATTGGATATGGAATTTTTCTTTTACCACTTTAAAAGATATACCATTCTAAACCTCTTCCTTCCCTTTCTTCTGATGGGAGGCTCACTCTTAAGTTTTTAACATATTTATTTTCTTTCCTTTTTGTTTTTAATCTGTCTGTGCACATGAGTACCATTGCCCATAGAAGCCAGAGGCATTAGACGCCACGCCCCACCCCCCAAACTGTAGTTCCCGGTGGTTGTGAGCCATTTGATTTGGGTGCTTAACCACTGAGCCACTCCAGCTCCCACCGTTGGCTTTGTCATTCTTTTCTTGTGTAGTTTCCTCTGGTTATTTTCAAGAAGCCAGAGGTTGACATCAGGTGCTCTTCACCTTACGTATGGAGGGAGGGTCTCTCACTTGACCCTAGAGTTCCCCAAACTCATCTAGTCTAGCTAGCTAGCTTGCTCTGGGGATCCTGTCCCCACCTCCAGAGTGCTGAGACTACAGGTGAGTTGCCAGTGCTTGCCCAGCATTTATTCAGGTACTGAGGATGGGCTTTGTTGTTGCTTAGTCAGTTCTTTAAGGGTAAGATAAGAACCTTCTTGTCAGCAGGACTTGTACTCTGAGTGTCTCCTGAATTCAGCTCAGATCTGTTCTGCTGTCTTTGGGCCCCATATAACTGCTGGGTGGGCCCACTTGACTGACCAGTGACTTCCTCACACTCAGGTGGCCTCTGCTCTGGCTACCTGTCTATGCTGATATCAGTGTGTGGTTTGTTGTTTTCCAGCTACTGCAGCCTACAGATCAAAGCTCTGGCCAAGATCCACGCGTTTGTACAGGACACGTGAGTGCTCATGTTCACTGGTCTCAGCGGAGGCCCTGGCTTCCCCACCAGCTCTTTCTCTTTTCTTCCTTGTTTTCTTTTTCTTTTTGTTTTTTGTTTTTCTGAGGTAGATTACAGAATTTCTCTGTGTAGTCCTGGCTGTCCTCATACTCAGAGATCATCTGCCTGCCTCTGGTGCCTGAGGACTGGCATTAAAAGCATGTGCCACCAGTGCCCGGTGTCACTCAACTCCGTTTCTTTAACAGTGATTTAAAAGCCACTCTTGGCTGGGCGGTGGTGGCGCACGCCTTTAATCCCAGCACTTGGGAGGCAGAGGCAGGCGGATTTCTGAGTTCGAGGCCAGCCTGGTCTACAGAGTGAGTTCCAGGACAGCCCAGGCTATACAGAGAAACCCTGTCTCGAGAGAAAGAAAAAAA